CCTCACATATATGAGGAATGAACTTCCTCTCAACATGTGAAACTGTTGTCCATTACATTCTGTTGCCTTTTTTTTTTCAGTGATGTAGAAATTGAGGAAATAATCTCAATTTAAATTTGAATTTAAAATTTTTGTCAATTAATTAAAATATTTATATGATGAAAATTCAAAAATATTTAAGATTTTTTTAAGACATCTTAATTTCATCTTTTCCTTTTTCACTGTATTCAATGAAAAGTTGAATAAACAATGTAAATACCGATGAATTAAAGGGCTACTTTCCATTGTACACAATGAAAAGGAGTGCTTACTGTCTTTTTAATTTCTCTTAATTTCATTTTTTTCTTTTGTGCCCCAGCATTTAACTTTGTAGCAGTACAAGAAGCTCTTGAAATGAATTCATAACCAAGACAGTCTCTAGTTAAAAAAAAAAAAAAAAAAGAAGAAAATCTCAAATATTTTGTGTTAGACGAGATAAAAAAAATCTTTTAGGTAAAAAGATTGAAAAATTAGTTTATCTATGGATTCTGTTTGCAGATTGTGTACTATTTTGTTGGTTTAGATTTTTATAAAATAATAAAGAAAATGAAAATATAAAATCTGAAAAATGAGGTAAACATGGCTGTACAATCATTACTGTACATTATTAAAAACCAACCAACCAAAAAACGCAACCCAAAAAAACCCCAAACCAACCAAAGAAACAAATATACTTTTTTTTTTTTTTTTTGTGATAGCATTTACTGCAAATAGAAGAGTTTTATTATCTGTATAAACATGCTTTTTGAAGTGAAGTACAAGGAAGTAAGAATTTACTCCAGGTAACTCATGTTACATGACCTTTGAAACAAACATACCTACTTTACAGGCTATGTGTAGTTCACAGGCCTGTTTTAAACCGTTTTATGGGCCGGAGCTTCTGACAGTTGCTTCTGTGATGAAGAAGATATAAATTTTCTTCTTGTTAAACATTGAGGCTTTTCTCACAAAACTGCTCAGTTCTGCTGCCCTCAGTTCAATGCCCACAAACACAGGCCCTGGCCCTGCATTGTGTTGTGTTCACAAAGGTGGCATCAGTTTGCCATGACTATGTGCCCTTCCCTCTTTTGCACAGAATTTTTCAAATGTTTTTAAGACTATCAAGATCTGGAACAGCCAACTTCCATTCCCGTCCTCTGCATTTCTCCAGCAACTGGTATTTTTATCCTTCCTTTAAGATCTGCATCTCAGACCAACCCTCTCTTTCCTCTCTTCTGGTGTGCCATGTATCCCACATCACAACTGGCACCCACGAGCCACTGCTCATCCAGTGGCCACAACCTGCCTCCTCCAGGGACCTAAATCTGCTTGGCTTTACTCCACTATAGGCTCAGTGTGGCATCTCCCATGACACTGCCTTTATTTTGGTCAAGATGGTTGATGGTGATTGTAATGCTGTGTGTAGGTGCCTTAATGCTAGCTTGGTTGAATGATCCAGCAGTTTGAATTGAAGCTTTAGCTCTCCTTTGGTACATTTATTCACTTATACAGTGTACTATTCACTCTCTTATTAATTTACATTTCCTATTATAACTCTAACAGGAACTCTCTAACCAGTCATTACTTTATCCATATGTTAAATGTTCATTTTACAGCTATTAGCAGAAATCTATATTCTGCCCAGGCTATATATCTCTTAAATGCTACTTTTTGACATTTCCCAGTTTTCTTGTCTTCCTCTGTAGAATGTCACCAGTGTCACTAGGCCTTGGATGGACTAAATACACCCAGATCATTAGACAAACACTAATTTCCTATCAGTCTCATTTTCATGCTCATTGTTTCAACAGAACATTTTTAAGCCTTCTGAGCATTGCTTTAGCTTGCCGTGTACACGGCTTACTACAGTTTTCTCAGAAAAATAACCTCCTATTTTGCAGCCTGATTGGTTTTCATCCAAGTACAGAAATGTTGCTTTTTATATAAATTTTCCCACCACCTGTGATACTGCCGATCACTTCTCTCCATTGCTTCTCTCAAAGATCACTGCCGTTGACTTCCCTGCTTCCATCCTAGTGCTTCTGCTCTTACTTTTCTGGCCATTGCACTGGTGGTTTTTGTGTAGACTTGTCCTCTGTTCTTCTCCATTAGCATCTCCTGGGATTTCTGTTCATGCTCACTCTAGTCTTCGCTGGAAATCTAGTGTACAATCTCATCTATTTACATGGACAGTTAAGTGTCTGCCTAGAGGCAGAAGTTAATTACTGTATTGTGTGTTATACAAATTAACATTGTGTCTAAGCATCACTCCGCTTTTAGGTTGCTATCTGTTGGGAGACATACCTTGCTTGGTAACAATGGGCCAACTTTCCACTTCAGGCTAAATTTCTCATCAGTGATGTTATGAAAGAAAAAAAAAAAGTATTTATATTTAATGTTATGCCCCTGTGCCTGTTAGTCTGTGGCAGGAAGAAAAAGACATGGTCTACACTTTGTTCCCTGCTTTCCTTTGAGTTCATTGCAGTGTGTTAGTCTGCTGCCAGCATCCAGGGAGCAGGATTATTATTCTCGTCGTGTGGACATTTTCTTGCCTCCACAGACTGAGAGCCACAAACTTGTCAGAGAGAAAGTCTGATATATTTGTACCTTTGTCCCTTTAAAATTAATTCATGGCAGGCATTACGTGTAGTCATCCAGGGAAAAACATCTTTATAAAGAAATTGGGTGTGTTCCCCAAACAGCATTTCTAACAGCTGATTTCCCATATATTATTCTAGCTCTGGCTGTGGGAATTGCATCCTTGCAGACAGCTGTGGAATGTTTATTCATGTTTCATATCTACAAAGCTGAACGTTTTGTTCCTATTCAGGAACAGTGTGGAAGACCTAGCCCAAGTTAGCTGGGAAATGACTTACGATTTTACTTGACCTGGAAGATCAGTGATCTTTGGAAGGTTTAAGGCCTCCAGAATCAACAAGTGTAAGAAGCAAAGGACAGGTCATGCTCATATTGAAGTTACTGACATAATTTCATACTGCTTCAGTGTAATCAACTGTACCACCAGTAACTGAGGAAAAATAAGTAAAATGCAATAATAATTTTCTTACTGGAATTAGAACATTTGAACATTTCTATTTTTACGTTGAAGAGTTTTCTTCTCATCTTTTATCAGGTCTTCCATTTTGGTGCTGGTGTCAACATCAGGCTTCATAATTTTATTCCTTTTATATATGTACATACTTGCCAGAATTATGGCTATTGTAGATGCTTTTACAAGTGAAACTGAAGAATGCGTGCAGATGCCCTTTACGGAAGAGAGTTAAGTTTTCTCTCTCTCTCCTTCTGGTCCAATAAACATTGATTTATAAAATGCAGAACAGATCCCACAGGACACTAGAATATTCAGTAGCTTGCTGAATATGCAGTGATCTACGATATGGGTTCAAATATTTGCTCCACATCACGCAAGCAAGCATGATTTGAAACAAGATCTCTTTTTTTAATGCCTGTTTACCTGTTGGCTTCTCTATCATTTTTATTATTAAGATGAAAAAACTGTGCTTGGGCTACCAAAGCACATCACCTGGGCCAAGTGAAGAAATCAAGATAGAAGATAGTAACACACCCTTAGGAGGTGATCTAATACGAATATTTAAATATGCTTTGTAAAGAGGAATCTTAGTCTGATTTTTAACTGGTTAAAAGGTAAACTCCAAGTGCTCCCTTGCATCAGTAAGTGTGATAAGACTCAGGATTTTGCTGTAATGAATTGTACTACGACCTAAGACTAATGATAATAGTAGAGGTGCTAATGTGTTTGTTTATCAGAAACTATAAGAAAAGAACTTGAAAGGTTGCTATGATGTGCCTCACCTTTCCTTGTTACCGGTCACGCAAAAGAGTGTATCACCAAAGAAAAACCCGTTCTTGACCAGAAGGTGTACATAAGATCCTCTCTGTATGATTTAGCTGAAACGGTACCTTTTTCATGTGGACAGATGTGGACACCTTCATACACTTGACTTCAACCTGATGTCTACGTCCCATCGTGAACTACTCTTTATAGGTAAAGTTGTGTTGGTTCGGAAGCATTACGAGGCAGATGAAGGCCGTGAGGATGTCCTTTCTCACCGCAATTCCTCGTAACTCCTGCGAAGCTCCAAGTTAAGCACCTGCCAGCACCTGCTGTGTTCCAGGGCCAAATCCGTTCACCTGCATGAGGAAGGGCCTTTACCTCCACATGGATGCAAGTGAAGCTAAGAGGATCCGTACAGCTGGAGGGAAGCTTATATATTTATTTCTTTAGTCTACAGAAGTTTACGTATTTATTTAGACAAGGAGAAAAATTAATCTCGGTAAGGAAAATGGAGGAGAGTGAAGGAGGTGCCCAGGCGCGCCTTCCCCAACCTTCGGTACCCGGGGAGACACTGACCTCGCTCGAGGTGTGGGTCTGAAGCGGCCGTTTTTCACAGCAACGGCGCGGGGAGATCAAAGCGCCTACACGCGAGTGGAGCCGCCTGCTCCCTCTAACCTCAGCCCGGCACCTATGTTTAAACCGACCGCGGCAGTCGTTTCCCCCTCGTACCGAGGCGCCCGGGCCGGCTGCGCTTCCAGTCCCGCTGCGGCGACGGCGTCCCCCACGCGCGACAGGGGAAGGCCGGGAGACGCTCCGGGGC